GTAGAAAACTTAAACGTTTCAAAAGTAAGATAAGTAACTCGGGGATTGTTCTTTAAGTGACACTGGCAATCGGTTAGAAATTCTGCCAGTGACCTAGCTCTAAATACACACTTAAATGTTACTTTCAAGACAACAAGATACACATTAGAACCAAGTGGCTTCAATGAATGAGTAGCTGCATAAACACCACTGAAAAAAGAAAAGAAAAGAAGAACAAGCTGAAACGAGCATCAGATTTCATAAATTGAAGTGAGCAAAGCTGACTTAGTGTGTTTTTACAGATGAATATAAATTCAAATTGTTTGTGAACAATCAGTGATAATTTGTTTAATGGCAGGAAGGAAAATGTCAACATACAACATCCACAGTGAAGCATGCTAGAGGGCCAGAGTGTGGGCTGCATCTTAATTAATAGCATTGGAGATTTACACAAAATTGAGGGCACCCTGACTGCTGACAGGTACAATCAGATCCTTATCCATTATGTTACACCCTTAGATTAGGGATTCATACTTCAGCAAAACATGATAAAAAGCATGCAGAAAATATGGTAAAACGATACTTATAATGAATAAAAAGCAAATTGAACACTCGCAATAGTAGCTCATCCTGCACAAAGTCCCAGTATGAATATTAGTAAGGTTTTATAAGCTTATATTGAAACCGAAAAGGCCAAACGGCGACCAAACAACTAAGCTTAATTGTAGGAAGTAAAACAGGACATTTATAACAGCATTTTACATTCAAATGTTAATAGATTTATGGTAGAATAAAAACATGTTCTATTTAAAACAAATACAGTGTACGTTAATTATAGCTGTGATAATTTTCGTGTAATAAATTTTATAATTTTCATTTTATTCGCTTCTTATCCCCCGTAATTTCTCAAAAACAATCTTCACACTTCATTTTTTGGTGTTGTTTCACGCATTCATGTCAGATTGTTTGTTATGAATTTCGCGCAAAGCTACACAAGGGCTATCTGCGTTAGCCGTCCCTAATTTAGTACTGTAAGACTAGAGGGAAGGCAGCTAGTCATCACCATCTCTTGGACTACTATTTTACCAACAAATAGTGTGATTGACCGTCACATAATAACGCCCCCACGGCTGAAAGGGTGAGCATTTTTGGTGTGACGGGGATTCGAACCCGCGACCCGCAGATTGTGAGTCGAGCGCCCTAACCACCTGGCCATGCCGGGCTCATTCATGTCAGACTGGTTTATTTAATTCACTGTGGGAAGGCTCCATTCCTGGAACGTCGTATGTGGATTGTGCATACAGTTAGAACGATTTGCTTTAATAAAACGGTATGGAAAAAGGTTGGTGCCACTCCCTCCATACCAAAAACAAAAACAACCTCAAAGAAATATTTCCGAGAAGGGGGTAATGTAGAAAGGAGTATTATATATATAGAGAGAGAGTCATACTGTTATTGGTGATACTTCTGTAACATACAATACAGGTATGAAAGGAGATATGTTTGCTTTAGATAGAGAGAATATGAGAAAAATTATAAAACTGACTTCACGTAATTATACGATATTTCAAAAATGCACATATTTAACTTTGAAGTTGTTCCACAGTGGGTCAGCAGTAAGTTTACAGATTTGGAAGACTAACATCGGCGTTCGTTTCCCCGGGAAATATATTATGAGGCTTTGCGTAAGAATAAGCAAACAATAAAAAAAAGTTAAAGTTTTTTTTTTTTGTAAACAAAGGTAAACAGATATCACAACCGTCAGAATAATCGCTGAGCCATCAGGGGATAAATTAAATGATGAAAAAATTTAAAATTATCTTATTATTAAGTGCCATGATATAAACAAAGTTGTAATTGTCAAATAATTGAAGACGTAAACAACTGTAAGTATTCGGGACATTATATTGAGCCCCCCCCCCCCCAATCTGCAGACTTACAACACTAGAAACCGGGTTTCGATACCCGTGGTGAGCAGAGAACAGATAACCCATTGTGTAGCTTTGTGCTTAATTACAGATAAATATTATATTGATAAAAACGAAATTGTTAATGAGATGTACAAAACTTAGATAACAAATTGAGATATGTACTACATAAATTGTTATTACATTGAAAATGTGTTGATATCACAATATCAATAATTATACATTTAAATATTTCTTCAGTTCATTTGGCGTTACTATGTGAAATAACGATTTATGGATAGTTTGTTTGTTTTGTTATTTTGTTGTCGATAAGCACAAAGTTACACAAGGGACTATATGAACTCTTCCCACCGCGGGCAATGAACTCCTATTTTACCATCATAAGTCCTCAGACTTACTGTTTAGCCATCGGAAGGGGGGTGATTTGGGGAGAGACATATCACAACACGATTCATACAGCAATTGTTATAGACTTAATTATACAAAACAGAAATATTTTCAAAAATGACGTTGATAAATATAGATTGTTCAGTATTATACCAGTAAGACATCTATACATGTTTATAATTTTAAATCATATAGTAAAGTACGGTACACTTAAGAAAATAAAAGCATAATTCTATAACGTTAGAAATCAGAGATTTAAATACATTATTCCACTGTGTAATAATAAATTTTACATAAGAACCATAATTATATGGCTTCAAAATGATTTAATAGTTTGCAATAGAAATTTGTGTTAAATAAATTGAATGAGCGCATGTTTGATTCATCACATGAGAAAGACCAACAGACTGACCTAAACAGACATAGATAACAAAACAGAGAAACAATAAATGACAGTCATTAAGACAGAAATAAACAGTGTCGAAAAAGCAAATATAGACTGAAAAGAACTGACACAAAGACAGACAAGCTGGTACAGTGAGATGGAGATAGACAGATAGGCACAAACGGATAAACATATACTAAGATAGAGAAAGAGAGAAATAAATGGATAGAAATGGATACTCGTGCAGATAGAGTTAGTTTGTCACCAACACAGAGATAGACAGATATACCCAGACAGACAAACATCTAGACCCACAGCCAGACAGTTTGTTTGTTTGTTTTTGAATTTCGCGCAAAGCTACACGAGGGTTATTTGCGCTAGCTGTACCTAATTTAGCAGTGTAAGACTAGAGGGAAGGCAGCTAGTCATCACCACCCACCGCCAACTCTTGGGGTACTCTTTTACCAACGAATAGTGGGATTGATCGTCACATTATAACGCTCCCATGGCTGAAAGGGGCGAGCATGTTTGGTGGGACGGGGATTCTCAGATTGAGAGTCGAGCACCCTAACCACCTGGCCATGCCGGGCACAGCCAGCCAGAGATAGACATAAACACACAGACAAAGATATGCAAATCATAAAATTTGTAATGACTTCAACCAATAATTCACACATATATTCTTGCATATATTTTCGCGTGCGCATGATATATTATTATTTCCTTTTTTAAGTATTTATTACAAATGTTTCATTACGTAACAGAAATTATCAACACAGAATATTATTTTTTCGTAACTGAACTTGAAATTACAGCACAGAGGATATAAAATCAATTTTATAACAAGTTAGGTGCATTAGAGTTTCCGTATATACAAACACACATATATCTATATACATTGATATATCTAAAAGCAGAAACCGGCAATATTGAAGACCTTTGCTTTCAATAATTCTCAATAGGCAGTTAGAGATCTAGATTTTACTTACACCATTATATACAACACTCTTGTTTTTTTTGTTTTTTTTGGTATTAGATTGTTAACATTGTTCACTTGTGTTTGTTTTTACCACTATCTACCGAATTTTTTATAATGTGAAATATATATATATATATACATATATTAGGATTTCAGTTTTATTTTGTTTGAATTTCAAATATGCTCTTGTATTTTCTAATTTTAGTTTCGTGAACAGTCTTCCGGTGGCCCAGTGGTAAGCTTCAATTCGAGCTTCGAATCCCGCAACGAACACAGTTCAAATAGTTCTGCACTAAAACAAACAAGTAGGGGTCGAGCGTGACTCATAGTGGTCAGCGTGTTCGGAATGCAAGCCCGAAAGTTGTAGCTTTCCGTGATATGTTATTCTACAAAACAACGACAACATTAAAAGTTTTTAATACAGCATATTTGTTTACCATCTAAGCTTGTTTTATGTTGTCTAATATGACTCTTATTTCATTATCTAGGTTTTTTCTTATTAACTGTGCATATTAATTGTATTTTGTTGTTGTTGTTTTTCGAAAATTTTCCATTTTTTTATATGACTTATAGATTACGATTACAAATTAAAACAAAAAAGATATAATTAAACGTTAAGTGGATCTGGGAATTCGTAACGAAAATCAATTTGAAGTATGACAATGGCATAAAATTAGGAAAATCATATGCAAATACGAAATCATGGTAAGATAAACTTAAAATGCAAAAGATAAGACAGAACAAAAAACTTTATTTTTAAAGAAAAATTTAAATATTAAAAAGAAACTGACATTAGAAAACATTTAGAAAACGACTCAGGCGCATTGTTACACATCTAACATAAAGTAAAAAAAAATTAATTAAAAAGTCACAAAATTACAACTTTAACTATAAATTATCTTCAAATGTAAAGAGCACAAATTATATACTTTGACAATGTAAGTCAAAGTTATTGTATTTCCCTTATAAAACGCTTTTATTATAGTGGTCTTAAGTTTTGACATATTGAAAACTCATTCGGGAATTTCACTGTTATGCCAATTAACGTTCAACTTTCACTCATGTTTGTTAGCATCGTCAAAAGATGGAGTAACAAAATCTATATTTTCAATCCAGTAAAGTGACATATTTAGCAAAGGATGACCAACCAGACGCTAGCATTTTATTCAATAAGCCAATGAAATAAGGTATAACAATCTATCTTGTAACTCATTCATGCAGGCGGAAGAAAGTCGTAGCATCCTTCTTGTTTAAATGATATGGTTTTCTAAACTGTTACATAACAATAGGACGTTCTAGGTAATATATTATGAGAAATCTATTATGTGTATTATTATATGGAATAGCATTGGTCCTTATTACAGGGAATACTCTAGAAATGAAAAATAAATGTGCTATTTGAAAGAAGCTGTTTCTAAATTCTCCCAACTTGAATATTGCATAGTCCGATCTTAGCAGCCATATTTATAATACGAGCCATTTTGTTTTGGTGTGTTTTAGATGGTTGGTTATTAATATTTTCGGTCGTAAATATACTCTTGATTGTAGCTGATGACTGGCGTGAAATGGGCATATGACAAGGAGATATATAAATTGAGTTCTGTTTATAAGTTATTGTTTTTAATTGATTGGAGTCTTTTGCTGACACCTAGTTTCAAATTGTGTAATTTTTTGAATGAGGATTTTCACAACGCAGGTTGTGTATGTTCAGCCGGAAACCGCGGGCTCAAACGTCGTCCCTCGGGAGTATCTTAGTTAGGCCTAGTGGGGCCTATGGTTTCAGTGTTAACTGTTTCGAAACCTGAAATAGATGCAAGATTATGTCATTCAGACTCAATTATTAACTTAACGTTGTGTTCGTTCAGATATTATCTAGGTAAGTTAAAATACAATATCGTAGAACAAGTTTATAACTATAACTATTAGCATGTTAATGTTATTAGTGTTAGAGTTTACACCTATCAAATTCAGAAACAAGTTTGTCATAACATTAACAACGTAGATAAAAATCGCCTGTTTGTTACCCAATTTTAACTTTTAAATTTTATGGATTTTTTTTTTGTTCACCATTTTGGATTATATCGATATTTATGATATTGAAAAACTTTGTTTAGATTAATTTGTAGAATTTAATGAGACTAAAAGTAAAACGAATATTAAAAGGCCTAGAGTTAATAAAACAGAAATAATTTATTAAAGATTTGTTTTGTTTGACATTTGGTAAATTTCGTTGACTCGTTATCAAACTTTGCTTTGTATTTGATGAATAGTAAAAATTACTGATAAAGCAATACTGTTTAATTACATAATGTTGTAACTTAAATGTGCTTAATAAAAATCGTTATCATAGTTCTACATGTGATACTGAAAGTAAATCAAACTTTTGGGCATGTTTGTATATACACGGTCATGTTCTAACTTCTAATCAGTCATGTGTGAAATGTGTGATTCAACATATTTTATTGACTATTTTATTTAAAAGTTTTAGAGTTTGAAATAATATATAGAGTTTTGCTACTAGAAAAAAATTAAAATAAGTGAGCAGTTTTTGTTCTTCTTTGCTTCTTTTTGCTTTCGTTGCTACACAAAATAATTTCAAAAACTGGAATATATGACAAACTCTTTTCCTTTATTGACATATTCTGTGTATAATAATGATATTAAATTTTAATATTTATTAATCCCTTACTAATAATATAATGAGTAGTGTATTTTATCTAATGCAATTATTTCAAGTTTCACCCTGTATTTCGTACAGACAGTTTGCATAAGTAATTTAGTGTTATTAAATATGTATATTGTGAACTTAATCAGAGAGAAGGCCAGATACTCTTGATGTAATGAATTATTAAATTGTAAGATACAGAGAGACAAATGTTAAAGGATATGTATGATCTAGTGATAACTGTCAAATTAGCCATCTGTTAGTGTATATGCTAGTTTAATATAAATCTGGTACATGCAATTGCATAATTAGGTCCAGACTATAGGTTTTATTTATTTTCAATTTTCAATAATAAAATATTGTAATAATATGTTTAAAATATACACATAAAAAACAAAACAAAAAAGACCTTCAGTTGATCCATGTCATGATTTAAAGAAATATTGTTGACATTATTAGTGTTAAACTGCAGGATCTGCAAGTTTTTTGTAACTTCTCAAGTAGGTTGCCAAGTTGTCTTTCCATTTAAAGAAGCATTGAGCTACTAGAATGGTGCTTGGGATGGAGGAGTTGTCATATGAGGAAAGGTTAAGATCTCTGAAATGGTTTTCTCTTGCAAAAAAAAAATAATTAGAGGGGATCTGATTGAGGTGTTTAAGATTGCTAAGGGAATTGATAGTGTTGATGCATCTTTTTTTTTCCATACTTAATGGTGGGAATGGTAGGTCTAGGGGACACAAATATAAATTTTGACAGGATAGGAGTCATCTTCAGCAGAAACAGTTTTATTTTTTTAATAGGGTGATTGGCCTTTCAAATGGGTTGCCTTCTGATTTGGTAGAGTCAGAAAATTTAAGTGAGCTTAAAAGAAAATGTAATAAGTATATGAATGATAAGAGCTGGTTTTGAGGTTTTTTGATTATTATTTTTTGTTTAATAGATTTAGCTTAGTTTAGAGGATGGGATAGCCTAGATGGACCAGTAGGTCCCTTATTGCCCCTAATCATTATGTTATGTTAATAATTACAAATTAAGTTCTTGAAGCTTTGATCATTTCTCTAAAATTGAAATATGATGATTTAATGGTCTTTTATTATTGTTAAGTTTTAAGATTTGTATACATTGTATTGGTCGTTGCTTGTTAATTTTGTACCCTGAATATTTTGGTTTGATTTTAAACTAAACCAATAAAAAGAAATATGCATTTTATTGGATGTTGTAGAAAATCAAAGATCTAATAGTTGTGCAGCTTTAGTTTTTGATCAGATATATTTTGATTTGGTTATTAAGTATAGGGAAAGTAGAAAGATGCATAGTGTTGTATCATACATATCAATCAGATAAACATCACTATCCCGTTAAAAATTAAGATCTAATTGATGTATCATACACATCAATTAGATCTTAATTTTTAATGGGATAGTGATGTTTCTTAAAGAAACATATTACAATTATAAGACTTAATTTAACAAGTCTAGAAAATTATGTCTCAACTAGACCCTTGACTCACAGTCTCATATGAAGATTGGAATCCCAAACAAACAACTCCTTATTCTGACTATTGCTATAGGATGTTTATTTCAGTTTTAGTCTTTTCATTATGAATCTAACAAAAGTGTAAGAGATAGTACTGCTAATAAAACAGGTTTTAGTTTAATGATCCTGGTTTTACAAATATTTTATTTCTGATGATTAATTAGCTGTGATAGGATGATAAAAAGATTATTAAGTAAAAGATTATGGTTTAAAAAAAGCTATTTGGTTAATTTTTTAGGGGTATGTTAGTGTAACTAAAGGTGAAGCAATAGTTATGCACTTGTTTATATTAGTTCCACATATAGATCTTAACTGTGGTATTAGTTTACATAATACAAATGAGCTTTCTGACTTTTACATATATATGTGACTTTTTTTTTTTTCATTTCAGAAAAACATTTTTAGTATAGGTCTTTAAAATAGTGTTCTGTTGGAGCTGACCATTTGCATTTTTACTACATATACCCAGCCCTACTTTAGAAAATGGATGTTGGTTAAAGGACTGTTTAATTTAAAGTACTGACTGGAGAGATATTTCAAACTATAGTACTACAGAGAAAGATGGCTTGTAGAACAGTGTGTTTGACTTGCTCTTCATCATGAAGGACGCTGAAGCAATAAGTGATGGCAATTTGGTGGAGATGGGAAGTAATGGTAATGCTGGGCGTCCACAACCAAATCCTACAAGGTGGATACTAGAAGCTATAAATAAAATCAAGTACCAGAAGCAACGGCCTTCCATTGATAGGATCTGCAGTGCTGTTCGACAGAATAATAAAGTAAGCAGAGACTTTATTGTGGAACAGTTGGAATTGGCTGTTGTTGAGGGTACAGTGCTTAAGGTAATGTGGAGTTTTTTGTACTTCTATAATTTATTAGTTATTTTAATAAGAGAATTAGAAATCTGTAGACTTGTTTTTGGTTTGCTGTAGAAGAACTGAAAGTGTTTGTAATTATTAGGAATCGGTAATTTTCCTATAAGTTTATCATTTAAGCAATGGAACAGGAAGGTTGGTAATAAAAGCTTTGAATAATGTGTTTATGGTTTAAATTCACCTGAACTTTCAATGGTTGTGTGTGTGTGTGTGTGTGTGTGTGTGAGAGAGAGAGAGAAGACATTATTTGTCTTGATGCCATATGTGTGATTGAATAGCCATTTGTCACTTGACTCATTCTAATATTTGTATTGTTTAGGTTGAATTTTTGAAAACATAACCTCCACCCACCTTCGGTTGCAAAAGCAATTAGTAGATTGACTTTTTGTTTATATTTTCAGAATGACATTCTATTTGATTTCAAGTTCTTGTGATTTTTTTAGGTGTATAACAAGGGACTATGCTCTTATAAAGACCCAGCAGGAAATTCTCAGGTGAAAACCCCTTCTAAAAGGATAACAAAGGCAACAGATCTAGTGAAATTACTACAGAAAGTAATCAGAGACCTGGGAGATCCTGGAGGATCAACTTTGTGGTCCATAGAAAAACATGTGAAGCAGACTTACATTTTCGACAACTCTTCTGAGTTGGATCTCAGAAAACAGCTTAGGTTTGCTGTCAAAAGAGCTCTGGCTAGTGGTCGACTGCTTCAAGAAGGTCGATTTTACAAGGTTGGTAGAGTAGGAGGAACAAGCCTTGCAGATATTGATACTCCTGATACTACTTTGAGCAGCAGAAGTAACAAGAACTTGTCTTTAGAAGCCTCATTATTTAAAGTGAGTAGAAAAAATCTATAGTTCTTGTTGTTGTTTTTTACGTCAGTAGCTGATGATAAGACTGCATTTGGAAGCTATACAGAATTTGACAAAACGAGACAATCTATTCCTTTTGCATGTAATGGTTTATAGTTGAAGATACATCTTGCTTTAGGCATTCAACAGTTCTGTCAAAAATGGGGAACACTATAACAACATTGATAGTGTAAGTTAAATATTTTAAATTTGTTTTATTTAATACTTGTATGAAATTCCAGTTTTATGGCTTGTAGGGAACTAAGTGGTTGAGAATTCATTATTTAAATTCTTTAAC